AAAATTAATTATTCACGACCAAGAGGCAGGTAATACTTTGAATAGTTCTGCAAGGTTTAAAACCCGTGAGGACATGCAAATTCGTATGTGGTATTTGGACTTTTGTGTTATTTTTTAATATATTAAATATATATATTTAAATACGTAAATTTAATTAGATCGGCGGTTTTAATAAAGTAACGTTGCAGCTATTTCATGAAATAGAAAATGTTATCAAACAATTACCTTGTTATGTTTGATAACATTTATGATTATTATTGTGCTATGGTAAGATTATTTGAGAGGTAATTTCAAATATGCATTAAAAATACTTTTTGTAGTATTAAATAGCTCTTATTTCTATCTTACAGCTTTAGGATAATTCAGTTACAGCAATTGGAGTTTATGAATGGTTCAGTGTTTTGGTTGTGCTCATGGCTTAATATTAATTGTATAAAATCGTACGTTTTTTAGTTTTTTACAGAAAAGCAACAACATCTTGAAAAAAAACTTCCCCTAAATATATTGTACCACCTATCCATCACATCTTGTTTCTAACTAAATTTGGGGGGGGGAAACCCCCATGTTGGCATCACTGCGTGTAGTCATCACGACAGTTGCTTGACTTATCACTACCAAACGAACGTGCCATAGTTTCGTTTCATATTCTCACTCCCTCGGTAAAATACATAGCCTGTCTTCGGTTTATAAGCATAGATAATAGACCTATAATCCTTACAAAATGTAGATTATGCTAAACATTATGTAAATAGTTTGTAAGTACTACTTAAAATGTATTCACCCGATTAACACAAATGTTTGTCGACTGACTTGTAAAAACGATTACTATTTTAATACCGCCATACTTTTTAAAATCAATTAAGTATTCATCTCATTCCACGAAATTGTGTTAACGCTGTGATAAAACAGATTACTTTAGTTTTACCGAATAAAAACCATTTATAAAATGCTTATAATTAAGTTATTAAAGGGTTTTAATTCGGATTTATTAATTTAAAGTGTTGCTATCGCTTGGCTACATTAAATTTTGAATGTTTAGGGTCTGTTTCACAATGTATGCATAAAGTACCAAATAGCTATGCAACACATAAATTATTTGGAAGATAAATTGTGCTATTTGACATAAATCGAACTCATAGCTTATGATGGATTTTATGTGACTAATAGCGCTATCTGACAATCGTGAAACGCAACAATATTGTTAATCCTACCAATAAGTAATAAATAGCTAATTTGGAACTTATGTAGAACTTATCCGTACATTGTAAAACAGACCCTTAGTATTTCGTTGTTTGTGATCGATTCGTAACTTAAACTATATAATTAGGTTCCATTCCTAAATTAATTAATAATTTTGTATATGAAGGCCATATTTACCTATGTTTTTATTCGTCAAACCTTATTTTGAGTATGGCAATGAAACACCAGCCGATTAAATTGTAATATATGTAAGAAAACAATTTAAGAGACACATTTTCAATACAGGTAAGGACATAAACATTTTTATGAAGGCAGACACTTTTAATAACCCCATATAATTTTGTTACAGCTATTTTTGAGACAGGAATAGCGCCATTAAATATATTATATACCCATTCCTGAAAGCTTCCTTTATCGTTTAATCAAGTATAATGACCTGAATTTCCGTCATTATGTAAATATTATACAATTAATAATAGACTATATACAAGAATACGTATCTACAAATACTATTTACCTTTATATATTTGCTACCCGAAAAGCAAAGTTTAACACCCGGCGATAGAATATTTGTTTAGGATTGGTAGGCGCTGAAAACTAGATCACCGACCTAATAAAAATATATCAAATTAACAGATCTTCAGACGACGTCAGAATAATGCGTCGGTATTTCTACAGGGAGGTAATTGATTTGTTTCGCAGTTTTATTATCTGTAGAACTACTTCAATAAAGTTTAATTTAATTACCAATAATGAAACATATTTTGTTTCGCACTAGTAACTTTAATTAAAAGAGTTCGAGTGAAAAATAAATAGGTTCACAGTTTGCGCTCGAACTTTTACAATATATCCCAATTTCCACTCTATAATTGAAATTTATACAGAGTTTTACTAATTAAAAGATGTTTAAACAACTATTTAGATTTTGTTTGTATTTATTAGCATGAATAGAAATACATTTATTTTAGCTTAGGTTATTCACCTTGATACTACGTGTTTGCGTGTTGTTCCTACACTAATGTAAGTGCATGCTCCGCCGCGCCTTGCTGATAGAGGTGAAACGTTATATATTTATTCATTATTTTTTTATTTATTTACAATAATTAACTACTTTAACATGTGATAAGGAACATAGTGTATGTGCTGCAGGTGCTTTATACAAACATATTGCAAAAAAACCATGGTTTAGAGAGTGATGGCGAGTTTATTGCCAGTTCTCTCCGTTTTACGCCCTTAATTTAAAGTGCCAGTAACTGTAACTGTATTTTTACCTTAAGTTCATAGCATAAGCTACAAGAATAAATGATATTTTGATATGATTTATTAGTTTACTTGAGCGTACTTACCAATTAATTTCGTCAGGTTTATCTATTTTTTTTTAATGTGACAATGTAAAGGCCTAGCAATATGTCAAGCTGTACACTTTAGAATGCACAGAAAAGGAAGAACTAGACAAAAATAAATTCAAATCGTATTAGCAATTTGCTATTTCACAGGATGAAGAATAAAGTGTTATTAATAGTAATCTGTATCAATCATGGCTTTTTAGCGTTATGAAGTAAAATAACTCGTAAATAATCAATAATTTATAAAAACTTGACAGAAAACAGTCACAGATTACAAATAGACAATGATGTAAAGCGCCATCATCATCATAATATAATCATATCGTGGAGTTTAATTTCGTCGGAGACTGTTTTGAATTGAAAAATAAAATAAATTGTGCGTGTACTAGGTGTACACACGTAAGAAGTGAAACTTCTTTATGATCTTATTTTTCGAAAAATGATCTACTATATGCAACTTTACAGAAATTCGTTAAATTAGATAAAGTTTAAGAAAAGGCTTTTATTATCATATAGACATGAATACAAATATTTCATTTTACCTTATTACTACGAAGATTATTATAGAATTTCATTAATTGTAATAGAATTATTACTATCATTGAAAAACGTGACGATTTGCTACAAAATTTCTCCCATACGTCGATAAAGAAATTTCATTCCAACGCCGATAAAGAAGTTTGACTTCAAAAAGCAACATGGCGCGTAACCGAAAAATGTGACGCGTAACGAAAAAATGTTACACTAAATTTTTTTCCAACCTCGATAAAGAAGTTTCACTTCAATAATATACATGTGTATTTGTGTAATTTAAAAATTATAATTAACACGTAAATCCTCGAGGTTTGATCACGTTTTTACTGGCATGGGTCGTCATAGGGACGGGACTTGCGACGCTATCTTGCCTTGAACAGCATTTTGGCGGTTTCTTGAAATATGAATGCTTAACTTGAATATTCTTAGCCAATACTTAACAGAATTAAAAAGTATATCTTAATATATATATTTCTTGTGTGCGTGTGTATGTGACTGAACTTCTCTCAAACGACTGGACCGATTTTGATGAAATTTTTTGTGTATGTTCAAGGGGATCTGGGAATGGTTTAGATTCACAAATCAGCCCGGCAGATGGCACTGCAGTCGGTACTTTCATACTTTGCTTAATATCCTAATCGCTTTAAATATCATGCAGGACAACGTCTGTGGGGTCCACTAGTAATTTTATATATTCCATAGGTACCAAATAATAATGTGAAGTAGTTTTTAAAATTTTGTCAAATAACCACGTGTTAAATTATGCATGAGTGATGCCTTCATTCAGAGTCGATAGTGACATGCTTTTTAAGGATTTTTAAGGACTAAATATTGATTTGTCTATTTTTACACTACGACATCAGTGTCATACTTTTTTGAGATAATTTATTTTAAAATATTAATCTCGATTGTCTAAAAGCCTCGTCTCCGGTTCTTCACCCGAATTAATCGTCGTATTGCAAAGTTATATGACTAGACAAAAATAATTACCGTACCAGTAATTCAGATTACCGTTTAACAAAACTCTTTTGTTTATTAAAAATTAAATAATAATTGTAGACTACAACAGACAAACTATTGATAGTGATAAATATAGCCATAAACTCTATTAAGCTTCATGTCAACAAACAAGATTACATAACAGTTATTAGTGGCAACACTATCATCGTGTTAATGGCTGTAATTTGGCCTAAAGGTACTAGATACCAGGCCATAAACTCCAAAAAAAAAAAAAAAAATAAGGGCTGTAATTATCTTTATGTAAATACGCAAATCTACACTAATATTAAAAATAGAAAATATTTTCGTATGTTTGTGATAAATAAAAAATTAAAATACTACTGTACCGATTTCTTATTCTTTCACTATTGTACTGCTACAAATGTATTTTTTTAATCCAGCCGTATTAGAGGTGCAAGGGGCAGAGAATATTATGTATAATTAAAAGATTTTTTTATGGTTTAGGAGGCAAAGGAGCAGACAGCACATAAAGATAAGTGTTTACCATCGCTCACGGACAACTGCAACATCAGGAAGTGTGCAAGTACGTTGCCGGCCTTTAAGATTAGTGGTACGCTCTTCTCGTGAAGGCTTGTTTTTAAGATATAGTTAACTGCGACATTAAGACTAAAATTGTAGGCAAGACTAAGGGTAAACAATGACTCCCGTTTGTCAAAATCCAATAACTTTTTGTCTACTTAACCTGTTGATTTTTAAATCTCAAAAATAACGAGGCACTGAAAACAAAAGCACTTTTTTCACGGGGACAGAAGTACGTAGTATTCTTTCCATTGCTAAGTTTTCTTAATTGTTAGCTGAATTCTATAATGTGAACGCTCAGTTGCTTTGACAGTTAGCGAGCGTTGTAAGCATTTATGTTTACAGCAGCAGTGTGTATAGTTTAAAGGAATTCAAATCTCTTTATAGACAATTTCCTATACGATATAACCTGTCTTTTGAAGCATTCAATAAACCACCGCGTGCCAACTCATCCACGGAGTTCATTGTTAGTGTGAAATAAAAAGGTGACTGCTTTCGGTAAACAAATATAGCTTGACACAAAGACATCCAATCGTTGTTATCAAAGGATCCTATTATCATAATTTTTTGTATCATTTTATTGTGAAAAGCAATTATTGTTTGTATCACAAACAAACATAATATCACAATCTCGTATGTATTTATTACCGTTTTTGTGAATGAGAAAATTGAATTTGCTATTTGTTCATCGAAAATTATTTTCTTTAAAACGAAACATTGTACTAAAATAGATATTTCAGTACTTACGGAAAGTAGATACTTTATAGAGTTATCTGATACGGTGTGCAGACTTATAGCTTAATCATTTGACAACTCTACATTAAATGAAGGGCTTATGAGGCTCTATCTCTTTGGTAGCGCGTCGTACCCTCAAAATGTTTCATGGTAATACTGAAATGTGTCTGCTCCGCGAGTCAGCGTGGTAACAATACAAGGAGTTATTGAAATACAGGTTTTGATGAAACCTACCTTGAAAAGCGGCTTCGAATAGCACGGGCTCCTGCGTGGGCGCGCGCGAAGCGGCGTTAGCAAGCGCGGCGAGTAGGGCGGCGAGCCAAAGCCACGCCATCTCACTCCATGCCATCTCCGCCCATGCTCCGTGCTGCACCTGCTGAAACGAAATAGTCATTTATTATAGACAGATATAATGTACGACAAGTCAAGTAAAGTAGTGAAATCAATATTACTATTTACGGTTCCCGTAATTGTTATAAAAAAAATCTGTGTTTGTCATTTATTCCATGTATAGCCCAATTCCTAAGAAATTCGGCCTATACAATTTACAGCGACATATAACCGACTCCTTAGTAGCACAACGTATTACTTTTTATTACGAACCTATAGACCAGCCGATTGCTGGTAAAAACGTTATATGTTAACGGGGAATATATTATGATTTATTTATACATATATGTAAGTCAATATGGTTGTACATATGTTACGAGTTGTTGCGTCAGATTTTTGCATTTTTTATCGAGCTCTTTTAATGTTTCATTCCTTCATCGAGCGAGAGTTAAATGTCCACACATTAGGCTAATACTGCTCTCAGTCATTATTCAAAATCAGATAAAAATAAAAGTGCTACGTTATTGGCAAAATTCTACTAGTTCTCTTTATATTCCTACTTCCACATCATATAAGGCAATCTCAACGAGTTCTTATATCGCGAGTTTTCTTCAGTTTGTTGAACAACGACTATTACACGCAGACCCCGTTTGACCCTTGAAATAACCTGAAGCATTCAGTTACTTTTTATGTTTCGCTCTACCCTTTTACGTGACGTGTACAAGATTGAATATATGTAATTCATTCGCGAATCAATTTCACAATTTTCTCAACAAGTATCTAATCTGTTTGCAATGTTAATCCAAAGATGTCTTACATACCTACACGTTTATATATAAACTCTTGCACAAAAAACGGGCACCTTAGGATCGGCACTCTCTCGGTTCTATGTCGCTTTCAGCTCGTTAAATGAAAATTAATTGTTTGACGTAGTCTATATATGTTCTTATAATCGTGTAAATTATTACGCGTGAAGTGAATCCTGGCAATTTTTTAATGATTTTTTTATAAATTCTTTAATAGTTTGGCAAGCTTCTTGAAGTAGTTGGCAATAAAGACAAGATTTTTTTTACTTTTTTAAATTAAATACAGTTACAAATGTAAGAACCTAATAACGAGTGTGACAAGAGTCAAGACTAACATAAGAACTTGCCAAATTCACAACTTGAATCCTTCTTAAATGCTCTCCTCGATGTTTTAACAGCTTCATTAAATTTTTCCACACCCACATCACATTGCACCGCGGCGCCAATATTTAGAGTAAATTAGTTAGTTTTATTAGTCGTCCCACAATTTTTTTATAAATGCCAATATTTATGATGTGGATGTTTTGACATCCATATTGCTGGTCTACTCATATTTCACTAATAAATTGTTTTGTATCCATTATTTTATATGAGCTCAATCCATAAAAACAAAATTATTTGTTTTGGTCCCATTAAATCGTCCACCACTGCCGCGCCGCGCCCTCTTAGCTGTGGCCGCCTCGATACTCTTGAGTCATTTGATTCACTCCACGCCCGCAGACCCCCGCCGCCGCCACCGCCGGGTGCCACCGCGCCGCAGGTCGCACCGCAATGCGCGTCGCCGATAGCTGTGGCATACTTCATACAATTTTCTCAATTTGTTTTTGCCGCGCGCCGCTTTGCGCGCCGCTTTGCGCGCCGCAAACCGCGCCGCAGGTGACTGTGGCCAAGGGGTAATAACGTTTTGAGGTATACGTTCCCACTGTTTTGTAATGACTCTTTTTGATCCCTGATGTTTTGTCGAGCAGGTTGGGCTGGTCTTACTCATCTTTTTAGAACATTCCAGACATGCTCAATTGGATCGACTTTAAGCTGGCCAATTTAAACGATGGATCCCAACTTCTGGCATGTACGCTTCCACGTCGCCAGAACGGAGCGGGCGAGTATTGTCGTGTATAAAAAAGGAATCTTCTTCTTCAAGAGCAGTTAATGCGGGTTGTTCATGTAGAGTTAGAACTTCCATTATGTACCGGTGTGGAAATATTTAATGAATGATCCATTTTCATCGAAAACTAACTCCGTAGAATTAATTGCTACCCATAACTTAATGGTCAAATTATTAAAACCTCTTTCTTGTAATATTCATTGACGTAGAAAAAATTTAAAGTGCCAGATGTATTACAAGAGTATAATAATTCTCTCTTCGTTAATATTACTATTTTTATTTTCTACAACACGTCTGCTAGAGTAGAACCCTACTTTTATTAAACATTCGTACAGTAAACAGTTTTTAATAAATCAATGTTAATCAAACACTATGTGATGCCATTAATTACAGCGAAAATTTGTCGAGACACAACCAATAACATTATAACAATTTTCACATATACTATAATATATAGCGCGATTTTTCTTTAAAATACCCATAAAATATCTTTACACACTACTTTGAGGTAAAATCTAGATAAAAAATTTGATGAGATAAATGGAAGTGCGAAATTAGTGCGTAGTGAAGTATGTTAAGGTTTAATTTGTTGAATGTTTTTATCACGTATGATTGTCCGAGGTGGCGTCAGATTAGTCTCGCTTTAGTCGCTGATTTCCATCACTCGGCAATCGGCATAACTAAGCCCAAGTTCGTCTTCAAAATTCAAATGTCTAACTAGCATCTTAGCATTGGCTTCTCCACAGATGCTAACTAACTCACTCTTCTAGTTTTATCTGTTTAAGTCCGTGTAGTATTTTTATTCTATGGTTATCAGTAGACACTAGACAGTAACGAATGCGGAATAACGGTTATGTTATTTATGTGTATTCAGTATTGTGTCCATTGAAATAAGTATAAAGATCTTAATAAAAAATAATATCTTTCTGTATAAAAATATGGAAATTTAAAAAGTTTATTTGTATTTTGGAATTTGTGTGACTTTTGTTAGTTTACGGCCTTAGCTTACAAATGTTTTAAAATTATCTTTGTGATTCAATACCTAAAGAGTAACAGGGAAGCCTACTCGGTAGTTGAGATTAAAATGTGTAAATTAGAATCTTTGTTTATCCTACTTCTTTTATTTGGTAAAGCATCTCTTTTGAATAATGGAGTGGCGCGTAAGCCCCCCATGGGGTGGATGTCTTGGGGGTACTACCTGTGTAGTGTTGACTGCGAAAAATATCCACGAAAATGTCTAAAGCAAGTACCGGCTCTGTTATTTTCTTTTCTTTTGTGGTTTTTCATTGAAAACTCTGTTATTCATAACTTTGTTCTTTTTTTATAATGCTATATTTTTGACTGTATGGTATAGGTTTTTTATGTTTCCATTTATTGTTAACTAAAGGCTACTTTTATTGTTAGTAAACATTTGAATTTAATTTCGGTTATAAAATAGAGCCACGTTGTGCTAGAAGTTGAAACAATTTAAGTCCTTCCTATTTTAAAGTTTACTTTGTTCATTTACATTTTGCTGTCGCTTCACTTTTTAAACTGTTGAATAAAATACATAACATAACCTGTTGTTTTCTTTTTCAGTGAAAAACTACTACTCTCTGTAGCAGATATGTTCTACAACAGAGGTTATCAGGAGGCTGGCTATGAATACATTGTCATAGATGACTGTTGGTCTGAGAAGCGAAGGAGTGTCAATGGAAGATTAGTCCCCGATAGAAAAAGATTCCCTAAAGGAATGGAGGCTATTGCAGAGTATGTTAGTATGTCATTTTATTTTTGTGTGGTATATATTTTTATTATTATGATGTCCATAGATGATTTAGTTCTATTCTTTGTGTAAACTACTCTAAGTGAAAATAATACTGGTAGCTGCCATATTCTTACTTTGTTGTAACTAAAGTACCTGCTGATTGAGACTGATATACTAATTTTATGTAAAACTTAAATACAAATAAATCATTTGTAAGAAAATATAAACATGTTTTATTTAACTGTGGCATTTAATGTAGAAATTTAAAAAGTTGTTTAATAATTTCGGAAAGTTTGTTTCTAAATATGATTTACTGATAACAAAACAAGCACATATATTAACAATTCTGGTTGATCAACTACACTGAGGGTTTTGGGATTTAACACACATGTGTGAATTACTCTTAATATTTCTGATAGTACTAGTATAAAAGTATTGAGTAAGTAAATAATAGGATAAAATCCTTTAAATTAAGTTTAAATTACTTTTATAGACTGATAGTTTAAAAAAATGGGAAGAAAGATTTCTCTTAAAATACACAGACTGAAACTCAATCCATACCTGCAAATGATACAAATATATATTGTCTGTAGTATCTAATTTTAATTTCATTAAAAGTTACAGCGTAATACTCTCCAAAAAAAATATAATAATACTGTCTTCCACCATTTACTGAAGGCCATATTTTGTTGGTTGACAAATATGAAACCTTATTTAAAGTGTCTATTGCAGATTCATGCAAGAGGTCTTAAATTCGGTATTTATACGAACATAGCAGATATAACATGCATGCATTACCCTGGTAGTAAGGGCCATTTCATTGAGGACGCAAAGATGTTTGCGGAGTGGGGTGTGGACTATATTAAGGTAGACGGATGTTTTGTTGGAGAAGCCTATTTGAATACAGGTTTGTATATCAATGGCGTATTTGTATTGGAAGTTTTAGGTTGGGTTAATAACTAATATACCAAATCTGCTCATAGTGAGTCACCAAGGAGTAGTTTCTTATATATTTAATTATTATTTATATTTAATTTCCATAAAAGAATTTACATATTCTTATACTGAACTCTGGCAGTAATAACTGTGTAAAATGCTGCTATGGGTTTTTTTTCATACTCCTGTCAAATCCCACCTGATCTAGTTGATGATTGGAAATTCTCGATGCTATATTTTATAGGTAATTTCCTTTTACAAACTAGAAAACTGTGGAGTTGTTAAGCTTTGAAATCTTCTTTAGCATGATCAAAAAGAAATAGAGCAAGCCCACAACAGTCTCCTTTATTAGCCATGCCTCTTATATAAAAAACAATCAAACTAATTTGGTTCTTGATAAGGTGAGGGAAATAGGTATCTAAGTTTAGTTTGAAGTGTTGTTTGCATATAAGAGTTACAGGATTCTTTGGCATAACAGTATTAAAAGAGTCCTGCTAGACATCCAGTATTAAAGGGTCTCATTCAACATATGAGGTCTAGAAATATCAACATTCATCTATTTTTGAATGCTCAAGTCACCAGTATTGTCATAAAATCACATTAAACTACTATTAAAACTATTTAGTCTAGTTTCCTTCCTTTGTATTTCAGCTTACATAGGATTTGGTCAGCATTTGAATAATACAGGCCGCCCAATGGTATATTCTTGTAGTTGGCCTTATTATATAGAATTTATACATAAGAAAACAGTAAGTAATTATACTATCTTATATACGCCTAAATAAAACTAAACTTTCAAAAATCCAATGAAAGTGTTTTAAACATAATAAACAAATTGATGTACATAAACTACTCTACCTTTAAATTATACATTTGTACCTGTCAATGCTAACGTTTTGGGTAACAAATTATATTACTGGAACTGTTATACTTTCGTAATGTGAGTCCGCAGACCACCTCAATGACTGGTTAATATGAACGCACGAGCATGAAATCCGGAGGTTCTGAGTTCGATGTCTGGTGAAACGATTTTGAATTTAATTTCAATGCACACGGTGATCAGCCGTTTTTATTATCTGTCTAACAAATATGTAAAAGTTGCGTTGGCTTTAGAGACCCCACAGTATATCTACGTGATTCAAATACGATTAAATGGTGAAATAAATTGGTAGGAAAGTATTTAACAAGAAAATTTGGGCCGATCTCAATTAACTAAAGGAAACAAAAGAATATTGTAAAAAACTAATAGCAATAACATACATAAATTATGCACGAGTATTTAACGTCAAAGTTACGAGAAAAATTCAGTTTTTCTTTTCTTTTAGGTGATTTTTCATACAATTATTTGGCGCAAACGTTACGGATATTTTGTCAAACTCAAAATACAATGCTGTATTTATCATGATATATTTAAGGAAAAAATATCCTTTTATTATTTCTTCATTGGCAAATATATAATATCAGGCAAAGCTAAATGCCCGACTATATTTACATAATATATGCGTAATACTTTATGAGAGGCTGAGAAATATTTCTAGCCTGATGAGGCTCAAGTATTCTGAAATGTGTCGTCATTTATTAAGATCTTCGAGATAAATTCTTAAGCATAGACATATTTAATTATATAATACAAAAATGTTACGTAGGCAGATATTTATCTTTTATAATAATGTAATAGTGCTTCTAAGAACATCAAAGACAAACAGAGATAGTCTACTCGGCCTTTTAAACAAATTTACAACGATTCTAATCGTCGAAATAGGAATAAAAGTGACACGTCTCAGTTATAAGCTAAAAAACACTGGATCAACTATTAATCTACGTATTGGTACCGGCACATAATTTGGCACTACTACTAGTTCTACGCGTCTAACAACTGAATGTACCTGGTCTAATAAAAATTACAGCCAGATTACGCAACAATATCTCGCCACTGCAACATGTGGCGGAATTATCACGATGTGGTGACGTCATGGGATTCAATTAAAGACATTATAAGGCATTACCAGTCTTCCTACAATCAATTAAGTCCTTACCATGGACCAGGGCATTGGAATGATATGGACATGGTGAGTTCTGTCTGCGAGTTTATGGTGCATATTCTAATTCTTATCTTGAGTGCTGTACATTATGCCAAACAAAAAAATGTTATGATGGCTCTTGAAACTTTATTTAAGTTTGATTGTCGTTATAGAATACAGACTAGATAATTTTTAATCCTATTTGAAAGAAGTCGTTAAAAAACGACTCGTAGCGATAACGATATGTTATATTGAACCCTGGTTATATTTTGATAAAACGTCTTTAAAGTGTCGCTGTTTGCGGTAGTTTTCCCGTAACCCAGAATAGGCCACAGCCCACAACCCTCGTCGATTATAACCCATGTGCGGTCACCAGTAAGTCAGTTTTCATAATAATTTTCAGTTAATATTCGGTACAGACTCCCTAACAGAGAGTCAAAGTCGCGTCCATATAGCAGTATACGCAATGATGTCTTCGCCACTTCTACTGAGCTGTGATATGGAGAAAATAACTGAGTACGAAAGGGAATTATTATTGAATTTAGAATTGTTGGCAATTGCTCAAGACCCCTTGGGCATTATGGCGAAGCCCTTTGAGGTAATAATGTTCTAGTTTCTATTAACTATCCGTTTGCGAATTTCTTTAATAGAGGCTCTATTTGAATTCAATACAAAAGGTATCTATAAATAATAATACCGTATTATTTCTAACGTTATTTATCCTATTTTACCGTTAATTTACCCAAAAGTATTTGCCGCGCATATTTTGGTAACAGATTTTGCTATCTTCAATAATAATAATAATATCAGGTAATTAAATAAATGAATAAACCTTGACCTTTATTGTGAACCGTACAAAAATCCGTTCGGTAGATTTTTAAGATTTTACCGTTATGGGTATATTTTGATGCCGTGCGGTCATATGTGCATCTCACTTGCAAAGAACCCTATAATACATATACGAGTATGGTATATTTATTATGATACCATTTTTTTCAATATTTTCACTTAATCAAAAATAATTTACAAATTTTGTATACAATTCTTTCACTCTTAAATAAAGTACATACTCTTTTGTCTCTTTCTGTCAAATTGTGTTTTTTTCTGTTAGAGAAAAAGACATGAATACTTTGGTTATAACGTTGCAATTAGATTTTTTTTATGAATAAGACTAAATTTGGTTAAGCATATATTCCGTACTTTCAGTTAGATAATTCAATAACACTTTGGGTGAAGCCCCATTTACCGCGAAAGGGTAATCGGTATCATTCCGTCTCTTTCGCACTTGTCAATTTGGAGGATAGATCATCTTCTGCCTCTTTCATACCGGGGTTGTATGGACTTAATTCGACTGAAGAATATACAGTTATGGTAATATTTTTATTTTGCTTTTATAGCTTTTATGTTTTTGCTTTATTATTTGCATTCTGTAGCTCAGTGGCTAACGCACAACGTGGATTCGATTCCCGGGAAAACATTACTTAATATTTGTAGAAACTGCTTATGAAAAATTTACTTATAAAACACGCATAAATGTTTATCCCGAATCCCACTGGGAGTTTCAAATTTCACAAGTTTGCTATTACAATTCCTTATCTACAGGATGTTATGCTTCAGACCTAACAAAATTATTTATGACCTTAAATAAATAGCCTAATTTACTTTTGTTACATTTTAATTTAATTCTTTACAGGATGTATTCACAAAGATATTTATAAGAAATGTGACGTTAAATGACCCAATCTCCGTTACCGTGCCATCAGAAGGTAAGTTATATTTTACTAAATGCTTCTGCGTAAAATAATTGTATGAAAAATCTTGGTTTTAGTAAAAAACTTAGAACTCATAAACCAGGATTTATTTAATAACAAATAATTACAAGAATAATTCGACAAGGTTTAAAAAACCATTTCAGATACTTATAAAACCTACACAAATTGTTATTTTTAATTCTCTTAGTATTGGCTTTGAAAATTCAAATTTAATATTCACAATTCCAAGAACCCGCCAAAACGCTTCTCTAGACGAGAGAGAAGATGGCGTCACACCAGTCCCTTAACGGACATACGTCAAGTATTTTACGTTATTATTCTTAAATTACACATATATTATTTTTCGATCTAAAACAGTCTCCGACGAATATAAAGTCGAAGACTATATTACGATTAAGGTGAAGTGATATTAGCTACAGGCATTCGTGGATTCGATTTATCTGTGACCATTTATTGTCACGTGGTATATAAAAATTAATTATATTTTTTTTATCAATACAAGATTATTTACAAGTTATACTATATATACTGTCAAATAGCCCATTTTAATTTGCTATAGACTAGAACTAGACTAGTAAACATTATTGAAACTCCTCACAAACTTCGTGGTATCGAATAGTGAATATTATAAAAATGTTTTCTTATAGTGCTTTTCATGAAAGAATCCCGCGGTGATTTTTGGAACTAAATTTGACAGGTCGGCAAAGTGCATCGTCGTTTACAAGTTCGTTTGTTTGGCAGATTTTTGTGAATTTTTAACTACTTATGCTTTTAAAGATTGATTACAATGCCAAAAGATGTAAAAAGTTCGGCTCGAGAAATGATATTAAAGGTGAAAGAGTTCTGTGAAGCGGAAAAACAAGGTGTTTTAATACCACTAAACAATCTTCGGAAGAGAGTTGCCGCCATAACAGGTACTTTTAGAGTTGCCATTTAATAATTTTTTGCTGTATTGATGGGACTGAATTCGGTTTTGCGACAAAATTGATAAAACGTGATGAAACTGGTAACTCAAATTAAAACATATTACATATTTCATAAGCTTATAAACTAAAGTTACTTATTTTTAATTGTTCAAATTTAATTGCAGGTGTGTCAGAGAAAACATAACAAAATTACAGAAGGTATAACGCGGAGTGTACTTTGAAAAAAAAATTGTACCATTTGCAATAAAACTGAAAAAAATTGTATTGCTTTTCTTTACCCTATTTTCTCATCTTTTCCCTGTAAGTAGGTAGAACACCGCTAATATAAGTAAATAAAAATATACTTTTACATAACATAAATATTGTTTCATCGAAGTTGCATAAAATAATATTATTTGATAAATTACATCTGCTAAATGTAAATAAAATAGGTAATTTTTTTACTCATAAATGGCAACATACGTTATGCGATTGCAGCGCCCGTCTGGGGGACTTCTTTCATGAAAAGGACTATAGTTTTAATTTAAATAAAAACATTATGGTTCATAACACCATTCATAGACAATGGTAGCAGGGTTGCCATATAAAGAAAACCATTTCATCGCAAATAATAAAAACATATTATTGAAATTACAATTATCTTACCTTGCTAAGGCTAATAAAAACTGTTATTATGCTTATCCACTAAACCCTTTATATTTGTTTCAGATGTCATCCTATATACGCTATTTCCTTTATAATTAACTACCAATATTACTTATAAATTATTTAAAACAATGTTTGTTTCAATAATCCTAAGATAAACTGTGTATAGAACCGGCGGTTTTTATTTGCATTTGTGATTAAACTGTAAAGTATCTACAAATAGCGCAATTTTGAACTTCATTTGATGTTGAATCAGATAAGAACGTGTAAATTATATTAAACCTAAGCACCCTATTAATACACAAATGTGGGCAAAATGGTCTCTCAGACTTTTCTTTAATGTTCTGTAAGTTCTTAGTCGAATATCAATGGACCCACAGGTGGTAGATATATAAGGTCACCCGGGGCGAAAGCAACTAAAAATTTATAAATTGGTACTTTGTCGTCCTCTACCATTAGCTACCTAATTATGATGGTTGTTTAAATGAACTTACTTTATTCCATGCCTTTCATTGAATAGTTCCGACATAAAGTACGTGAAAAATAGGCTTAAGTTATTGAATAATTTACATTCTTGTTGAATAAGAGCACTAAAAGTTACATTTACCCCACCTTGAGGCTAATGCAACTATCAGTTAAATGACCTTGTTGTAATCGTAATCTATACGTTTGGAATAAGGGTATATATAGTTTCACACTACAGGTATCTGAAATTGGTATCTAGATGCTGGGAATAAGGCTCAGTTTCCAGAAAAATTAATTTAAACTTTTTATGGGGCGAATGCGACTGCCTCCCATACTTGCTAGTGTTGGACAGATACGTACTACTAAATTTATCGATAAATCTTCGTGAAAAAAAAATTCGATGAAAGGACCGAAAAATTATTAGTCTGATTTAAGGTAAAGAATTAAAATGCGAATCATTAAAAAATAAATCTTCATAGTAAAAGGTTTTAACATTTCTTATAATCAAATAAACATCTAAGGACAGTAAGTATAATAGATAACATGAAAGTAAGTACAAAAACGCAGTCTTGCTAAAGTTATTGCTTGGGAATTAACATCAACATTTTTGCTTAATGTCTAGCTGACTTAATAATATTGGCATTTAATAATGCCACATTATGTGAGTAATCATTAAACCTAGGATGATATTGATCAGTCCAGTAATTCTTACTGCCAATTTCTGAATTGAGAGATTCACTGGGCAGATGCGTAAGTATCGTTCTGTCTCTGCAGATTAACAAAATCGTAACTTTATGTAAAGGCTTTCATAGTTTTATAGTTTGAATGTATTTTGTGCACGCCTAATCTGCCTTTCAATAACACGTATTATTAAGTTTTCTATGTAAATAAATTCAATTAAATTATTAACAAAAACAATATATAAGTTTAAAAAGATACGTCACAGATACCAAGGTAAATATTTTATGCAAATAGATAGTGAACTTCACTTGTTGAAATATCGACACGGAACTTCACTAGTGATTTGATTTTTTCATACAAATACGATGGGGCTATTGCAACTGCAAAAATAGTTGCAATTACCCATCTGCACAAAAATTTGAGGTTAATGTAACTATGTCAATAAAATGTTAATTAAAAGACTTAGCCTTTAACCAAATATACCAAAAGCACTTACGTTTTATCTTTATGTTAGGATGAACCTTCAATTTGGCTGGAAATAACGTGAAATATTTTTTATGGCACAAAACTAAACAGACGGCGCCGCAAAACTTTGCTCCAAAATGGCGGTAGTCAAAAAATGCTCTGTCAGTACAACAGTTAGCGACTTAAAAGCTCCATCTAGACTTTATAAAAAAAAGTAATAATTGCTCTACTCTTCAACAGATGGCACGTTTTACAAAAATCATTAAATTGTGAATAAAATCAATTAGTCACTTTAGCCCCATAGTTGCTTTCGCCCCGGGTGACCTTACTAAATATTCCACGGGCAACATCTGTCTCTTTTCATCACAGCGGGAAAACGATTTGACAGTAAGAGACGAGTACTTCAGTTAAAAGCAATTACAGCATTTTTATGAATAAAAGGGTTAGTTTTTACGTCTGAAGATGCGCAATTCTCGACAACTTGTTGGACTTATTACCTTAGGCGCAGCTTCCAAATATTTGACATCCCGCGGCGCGTGGTGGCGATCATCAGCTCCTTCCTCTCCGACCGGCGCTTCCACGTCTCCGTCGGGGGGGTGAAGTCGAGCTGCCGGCCGATCGCCGCGGGGGTCCCTCAAGGCAGCTGCCTATCTCCCATACTGTATTCTATTTATTCGGATGACGTTCCAGTTGCTGCGGGGTGCGCGGTGTCGCTGTTTGCGGACGACACCGCCTTCATCGCCTCCTCTCTCAACGCGCGCCACGCAGCCACTAAACTGCAGAGGTCGCTGGACGCCCTTCCAGCCTGGCTGGCAGAGCGGCGCCTCACCGCAAACGCCGCCAAGACTCAAGCCATCATCTTCGGCTGGGGGCGTCTCCCGCCGCCGCTGCAATTCCAAGGGGTCGAGGTCCAGTGGCGCTCCCAAGCGACCTACTTGGGCATTACCCTGGACAGAGGCCTAACGATGCGCCCGCACATCGCTGCAGCCGCAGGCCGCGCAAAGGCGGTCGCCTCCAAACTGCGCCCTGTACTGCAGTCCGCACTTCCGCTAAGGCGTAAATTAGCACTGTACAAACTATACATTAGACCTCATCTCACGTACGCGGCGCCCGCGTGGTACGCTCTCGCGGCCGAGACGCATCGGCGTCGGTTGCGCGCCGTGCAGAGCACCACCCTGCGGCGCATCGTCGGCGCGCCGCGCTACGTGAGAAACTCCACGATCCAGCGAGATTTAAAAATAACAACCATAGACGATTTCATCGGCGAGCTGGCGAGGCGCATGTTCGAGCGTGCGGACGCCTCAGGCCACCAGCACCTCCAGCGCCTCGCCCCGCTCCACACGAGACCGCCAGAACACCGCCGAGCCTACCCGCGCGAACTCGTTCGCGCGGAACGAGACGAGCCTCACTCACAATAACGAATTTAAAGACGAAAGGACTGGACCCCGCCCGTTGGCGCCTCGGAGCGCACTGAGGATTCAGCCGCAGGTCTGCCTCGCTGGGCCTCCCTCGGGTTACCGAGGGTCTCACCCGGTGTGGTATGACCGCGCCCACGCGCGCCCGTTGTCGCCACGGGGGGGCGCCACCAGACCCACCGTACAAACATACAAAGCGCTGCGAGAGCGAAGACGCTCCGCAGCGCAAGTGAAGCTCAGGGCCGCTCCAGGCCCGCCACAGCGACCGCCCCGCCGTTGAGCGGGGCGCGGAAAGGATACCCCCCGCAAGCCCATGGGCGTAACGGGGTACCCAGCGCCACCCTAGGGTGATTGCGCGGAAGAAGGCATCGACTTCCAAATATTTGACAGATAACAATAATTGACTTTGATGTCTCGTACCGATTTTCAATGTCGTCACTGGTCAGCGTAGCGTTATCATCATCAACAAGACGGTCGAAATCATTTGATCGTTCTTCGTAATATTTTGTGTTTCTACCAGTAAATAGAAAATCTCGCTTCAGGCCCAAATTTCCGAATTTCCAGGTTCAAGTAGATTTCGATAAGTTTTATTGGTCGTTATAATAAGTGCTACAAAATTTGGCTACCGATGAAGCGCCAAGAGTCTTGGCAGTGCTTTAATCTTAAAATTATATTCTGAAAACATTCAGTGCCAAGTATTACTTGTTTTAAATTATACGAAACGGCCTAGTGTCGCATGCAAGTTTAAACTGTGTAATATATTGCTTCCTATTCATCTTAATCCAAATATCCCCTAAAAAGAAATGATTATAATTATTATTATTGAGCCTTCGCTCGCGGTTGTAGATAGACGCCGTAATTATAAACAGAAATAATATTTAATTATTAATTATTAGGATTTTAGAATGAAAAATATTATTTTGATTACATAAAAATAAATACAAAAACGCCTAACCTTAACCAAAAATGGCCCCAACAAAGTTTTAAGTTGCCATCACCAGTAAAACTGATTTTTAGTGGAACCATATTACGTATAATATACTGAAAAGTTACAAACATTTTTGGCACTATAAGTTTAACATTAATTTTATATTATTTAAATATTATATTATTTAAAAGATTAATAATTTGATTAGCCTTTAACTGTCTGTCTGTCTCAAGGGTTCATTCATTACAGCAAATAAAAACATCAAATACTTGCTCATGACAGCAGTAGGTTCAAACCCCTATTAATTAATGAAAAAATAAAAAGTTGTGGTTGAAAAAAATTTTCATTATAAACAACAAAAATGCAAATTTTTGTATACTTACAATTTAATATCTTATAATTAGAAGGCAAACCTTACAATATATATTTTAATCACAATCCCTTGTTCGTAACTTGTTCACAAACGTCCCAAGTTGGCCCTCTAAAAAACCCTGTTACCATGGGTGTGCATTCAGATCTTATCTCAAAGGCGTTGTCAAAGGGCGCACTGCGGCTGACAGCAACGTTGTTAGCCCTTAGTTGATTTACAGCTTTGCTATTAACTTAATATGTCGTTATGACATAAAGGATCTCTGTTTTAATTTTAGGGATAACGTTTAAATCATCTGGAATTATCAAAAGTCCTCAATCTGTAGCAGATTCCGAACAATTTGGATTTTTATGTATTACTAGCTGACCTGGCAAACGTCGTTTTGCCATGTATGTATATTATTTATAATAAAAAATAGGGATTGATCGTAGAGGGCTGAAAAATAGGGGTTGTATGTATTTTTTAATGCTGTATCATACAAAAATAAAAATAAAATTTTTATCTAAAAATTAAAAAAAAAAATAAGGGTGGACTACCCTTAACATTTAGGGGGATGAAAAATAAATGTTGGCCGATTCTCAGACATACCCAATGTGCACACAAAATTTCATGAAAATCGGTCAAGCCGATTCGGAGGAGTTTAACTACAAACACCGTGATACGAGAATTTTATATATTAGATTTCGTTTCTATTTTTTTTGTTATACGAGTATTAAAAGAAGAATATTTAATTAAAAGTATTGTGTTTGCGCAGATTATCGAAGCTACATA